TGAGACCAGTGGGATGCTGAGCGCGGCGGGGAGAGTGGTTAGAGGGGATGTAGGATGGGAGAGGAGACAGACTGGGCGGCCCTTAGGGGCTGCTGTAGTTGTAGTAACTCTGTAGAACCTGGTCATTGGGGCAGAGAACCCAGAGGCAGCACACGTGCTGCAGCCACCACGGGTAGAAAACCTCCTGCACCCGCGTGGCACCCCCGGAGATGATGGCGAGCGCAGCCTCGGGAGCAGGAGCAGCACTGAGATGCACTTTGCCCCTGGAAGGAAACAGAGGGTCACTCAACGCCAGTCGATCCTGGGTGTAGTTTAAACCGCAGAACGACTGTCACGGGGCTCATGTTCCACGCTGAGCTGGACACGCACGACCCTCACGGCGCGCCCGAGCAGACGCCCTCCGCCCAGTACTGTTCTTGCACATCCAGACGCGCACATCCTAAACGCAGCCGCAGTGCATTTTTTGCGTGCTTTTGAGAAGAGCCCTTCCTGCAGACACACTCCTCCCTGCCAGACCCCTCCGGACACACACCTGATGTTCTCCAGCGCCGTGGCGGTGTCGATCAGGCCCAGGATGCACAGCGTGATCGAGACGTTTCTCTGCTGCATGATGAGTTCGTGGCGCAGCGAGCTGAAGAATCCGTCCAGCGCAAACTTGGTGGCGGAGTAAGAAGTGGTGAAGGGAGTGGGTATTTTCCCTGGGAAGGAAAAGGAGAGAATGGAAAACACCAGCAAAGTGGCTGTAAGGACGATGGTGCCATAGAGAGGGAATCATAGAATCATGGAATGGTTTGGGTTGGAAGGGACCTTAAAGATCATCCAGTTCCAACCCCCCTGCCATGGGCAGGGACACCTTCCATAGCCCAGGTTGCTCCAAGCCTCATCCAGCCTGGCCTTGGACACTCCCAGGGATGGGGCATCCACAGCTTCTCTGGGAACCTGTCCCAGTGCTCCCACCCTCTGCGGGAAGAATTCCTTCCTGATGTCCCATCTCCATCTCCCTCTTTCCATTTAAACCCGTCACCCCTTGTCCTGTCACTCCCTGCCCTTGGGAAAAGGGAATCTGGGCAAAGACAGAGGCTCTGTCATCCTGCCTCGCCCCATGTTCTGTGTGGGCGTCACACACAGGGACTCAGGAAATGACACCCCTTCGTGTGAGCACATCCCAGCACGAGAGCCCCCACGTGTGTGCTGAAGGGCGGAAATCAACTTACACGGTAACCAGGTGATGGTCTACCTGCAGCCTTCCCCTCCCCCAAACACGGGCTGGGTGACACGCGGGTGCACCTGGCCAGGACACTGCCCTGGCACCGCGGCACCTCACGCCACGACGCCGGGATGCGCCGGAGCCTGAGCTCGTGCGTGGTGATGAAGCTTCCTTGGGAACGCACTGGGCACCTTCTCCCGCCTTTCCACCCCGTCGGCTCGGGGCAGCTCCTCAGCAGCCTGCCACCCAGGCTGGCCAAACCAGGCGGCCTTTGCGTGGCGGGATGGTCTCCATGCTGCGTCAGAAACGCGGGAGAGACGGGCCTGGCCGTGAGCGACAGGAGCCAAACACGGAGATGTGGGCACAGGGTGAGTGAAGAGCAAAGTTCCGATGGAATGCAAAACGCCGCAACGCAGAAAGCCTTACGGAAAAGGTGGTGGTCATCCTGTTGGCTACTCTAAAATGCACAGCTTGAAAGTGTGCTGAGGGGACGAAGGACACAGAGAAAGACGATGTTCTGGGAACCACTGTTTCCCCAAGGCCAGCACTAACCTGTGAGGGAAGAAACAACCACCAGAGAGCCTTTATTCTGCTCCAGGGTGGGAAGAGCTGCTGTTGCGAGCGCCACGTAACTGAAGAAATTCACCTGGAATGACAAAAGGAGACAGGGAAGCAGCAAGAGAGTTTGGAGGGAAGGTCGGCATGAGTCAGAAAGCCAATGCAGCGGTCAGAGGTGGAAAGGAGCATGGCCTGGGCTTGTTGTTTCAAATATCAAGCGAAAAGAATCATCCCCGTGAGGATGGGGACACACATTGCATCCATGAGTCTTTCAGATTCCAGAAAAAGGCAATGGAGAAGAGTGGGAACAAAGCTTTTTCCTGGGCTTAACACACAGATTTCTCGACAAGAGACAATTAGCTGTCTTCTCGATACGTCGTTCTTCACTCTGCAGTCCCTACTCAGCAGCAAGGACACCAGTGGTGTCTCCACGTGCTCCCCTTTCAAGTTTCCCTTAGCTGAGCTCGGACTACAACAAAGCGTGACATTCCGCCCCTCTTCGGAGCTTGGCTGCTCTCTAACTTGTCAGAAATTCCTTGCCTGTGATCCGAAGTCCCCTACTTGCCAGCAAACAGGCTCCTTCCGACATGAAATCGGACGAATATGCCCCATCCGACCTAGGACGACCGAATCAAGGAAAGAGCTCCTCATGGTCTGATTCTGTAGGAAAACTGAACCCGTGAGCCGAGACTCAAATGGCAAACACCAAACCACCTCGTGGTGCCCTGCAGTGACGTGCACTTGCTGGAGACAGCAGGAAGTGCCTGCTCCTTGCTTCCTGACCTTCCTAAACTAGACATGCATTGCACAACTGCCCATCCCTATCCAGCTATCCCCAACAGTCCTGGGCTGATGGGAGATAAGGAGGATGGAAAGAAGGAAAGGAGTGAAGTTCTTCCCAGACATTCCTCTGCACACGTATGTAACAACCGAGCAGGATGCCTGCCTCGTAACAAAGCCTCCAAACCATTTGACTTGAAACACACATGAAATAAAAGGGTTGTTCTCAACCACTGAATGTGCCTTTGAGCTTCCCAAAGCTGTCCGAGGAGGAGCCAGACTCACCCGATTCCAGGGGAACCTCTTCCTGCTGGGAAACCTCACCTGCATGAGCCAGCGGGTGTATTCCACGTCTCCAGCCCACATCTGGAAACGGGTCACGCCAATGTGGTTCAGCACCAGGTAATCCAGTCCCCCTGCGGGTAGGAGAGAAAGCAGTCCAAGGGGCCATCCCCTAACAAGCAGAGGGGGAGAATCGGGGGAAAAAGA